AAGTAGCAGTGGCACACTTTGTGCCACCTGGCACATTACCCCGGGTGGGGTAAGGGTAGCTGGGGCCAGCAACTTTGTTGGCCTCAGCAGCCTTACCTGAAGTCCTGGGGGCCTCTGGGAGCTGGAGCTGAAGTGATTCTGCATCAGGGATCCTGGTCGGTAGCCAGAGCATGACATTGGCTGACCAGGCTCTGGTTTGGGGTGGCACGTGCTGTCGCCACATGTGCTGCCCTGCTTTTTTTAGGCTGGGATCTCTCAGGGTCAAAAAACCCACCCACGGTGCAAAGTAGCAGCATGGCAAATGCCTGCATGTATAGTATATGGTGCTGCAGATGGGCCTGCAGCACCACATACTGCATGTCTGCGCTCATCTGGATGTGCCCTTAGTGTCTTCACTGGTTTATTTCTGGGTTTGGAATATGGAAGCAGGAGTGAGTGGGCAGGGTGTGCTTGGGAGTGTTCTTGCTAAGGCATGCTTCTACTGTAGAATGGACATATGTGAAAATAACCTGAACAATTGTTGGAGGCTGTTAATATTTTAAATGTGGCATCTGCTGTATTCAAGAAAAATGGATATATACCAAAAAAGGTGCACCCATGACTATATTCATATTTTTTATTTTAAAACCAAATATGTGTATTTATATATTTAAAGCATAATCTGTTTCAAAAAGTCTTGCGCAGTCTTCTGGTCCCTCTGTATAGTTTATTTTGTTTGATTTGGTTTTGTCTTTAGATTTTTTTTTCATATAAAAAACCCACTAGGCCTTTGTTTCTGATTTAGATCAGACAGAACCACTTGAGCAATGCTTTTACAGAGTTCTAGAATTTCCAGTTACACACCTGTTGTTACAGTGTTCATAGTATTTTCATTAACATAGGTTTGTATATTTCCCATGCAGACCAGATTTCTGTGGCAACTGGATTAGCAACTTCAACTACGCTTAGTCTTCCTCATTTTGAAAGAGAATTATATGGCGAATCGACTGACAAAATGACCTACACAGAACAGGCCAGCAAAAGGTCTCATTGTAGAAGGCTAACCTGGTTAGTAGCTGCTGTTCTCATGCTCTCTTTTCAAATAATTTCATACTAGTTTAAGTTTAGTGTTCCTTACAATCACTATATTGGTATGTAGTGGGCTCACAAAAAGGAAATAAAATTTGCATACCAGATCAGGATATCTATGAATTAGTCTATTCCTTAGCAAAGGCTAAATATCTCATGTTTCAATGAATATTGGTGCTTACCAAAGAATATCTGAAATAAAATAACGAGTCAGTGGAAACAAACAACACCCTTCTAATGTCCCTGGCCAGTTTTGCAGTACAAATAAGGGAAAATTCTGTCTTGATCTCTATGAGCAATCCATTAAGAACCAAAAATACAAGGTTAAGAATATTATTACCTTTGTCTTTAGTTACAGAACAATAAAGATAGCTTTCCTGTGCATCATTCCTTTTTATTATGTTATTCTATGAAGCATTCAGAGACTGTATTCTCTGTTCTGCAACACTATTAGCTGGGGTGTCTGTTTTAACTAGTCTGGAATAAGAAAACTGTATATCCTTAAGGTAGTATGTATGCACATAATTACAGTGTAGGTGGTTTAAGGTTTTTTCAAGCAACATGTTTCCAGGTAGACTTGCATTATTGTTCCGTGTCTTCCCTGCAGAGGACTATGGGTGAGATTCTTTGTTATGTCTGCAGTCCTCTAATGCGGCTATGGTGGTTATAAACCATCTTTGTGTCGCTCTGATCTTGGGCTCCCCAAATGGATTGTGGGGCCCCAGTGCCATTTATTTCTAAGGACTACCTAAGATACAGAAACTTTTCAGAGCTATAGCACAGCCTTAAATCTCCAGTATTGTAGATCTGCCCTTTAGATTCCCCACTTACTCCTAGTCATATGTTAATGCTGGAATTTGTCAGGGTGTCTTGAGGAGGCAGCTCTGTGCCTTTCTTGCCCCATGCCTGCACAGGGGAAACCTGCCTCTGGTAGGGTGCCTTTGGGGTGTACAGGAAGCAGATTGAAGGTGGGGGTTTCACCCCATTACTATCTGCCATGAATTCTGAGACCTCAAATTTCAAGAGATGGTAAGGAAATAGTTAAGCCTTCAGAAGTCTGAATCTAGCTGTCCTGCACTAGAGTCCCTCCATTGACTCCCCACCCTACCCGTACAGCTCTCTCTGGTTCCTTCCCTCTCTTCAACATGTGCTCCACAAATCAGGCTTTTTCACTACTCCATTTATGTTGTCTTCTCTGGCATGGGTCTTTTATCACTCCCTGATATCATCCGGGGACTTCTCTCTAGCTCAGAGCATCATAATCTTCCTGATCTGCTCCTAGGCATTGCAGCTACACATTTTTTCCATATGGAAAGATTTTGGAAACACCACAACTTAGCTCATAGTATGCACCAGTGGTCCTGAAGTCATGGAACTCTTTCATGCCACTTTTGTTGCGGAACCCCTCCCCTTATTCTAAAGACTGATTTGGAGCCAGGCATCCTGGCCAAACAGTGGTGGCATACCACCTCCCAGCCCACTCTACCATTAGCCCCAAACATTTTGCAGAACCCCTTATACCTATCACAGAACCCCAGGGCTCCACAGAACACAGTTTGAAAACCACTAGTATTTGTTTTTTGGGAAGCATGGGTGAAATCCTGACTGTTATATAACCAGTGGGAGTTTTGCCATTAGCTTTAATAGAGCCAAGTTTTCGTATCTTGCATTTATACCTGTCTTCAAAGCATCTGTCCCACTCTTGGTGCTGTACTCATACTATAAATGAGAGTAACAGATGTTATAATTTTTTAACATATTTGAGTCAAGAGTTCAAGTTGTGTTTCATAACTGGCTAGTGGATATGAGAACACAAAGTGAATATTGTTATGCCTGCAAGGTCTCATGTAGTAAAACAGCATTGACTTTTAAAGGTTTGCAAGACTCAAAAATATCTAGACTTTATCAGAATATAAACATTTTCAGGGCCACAGGGCATCAATGTTCTCCTTTTGGTCTTGAGTGACTGTTCAGATGCTAACCTTTGAAACTGAGTATGAAATAGAAAAAGCGGTGGAAGGAAGAGTTTGGGCAAATCCTGTAAACTTTAGTGCAGTAGTGTATTATGAGGACTGTCAGTGGCGGGGATTTGTTATAGATGTATTGCATCCCTGTACACCTTGAAGATTAGGCTGCCTGGAATATTTGAACAACTTTGATATGTTCATTGTAGAGCAACTAGGGCCAGATCCAGAAAAGGACTTAAGCACATACAGTCTTTCTGTTCCTGTTGAACCAAAATTTACACCCTCAGAGGTCATGCTCAGGTGCCACCTAATCCTGGTAGCCACAAATGTTGGCACACAGCCAAGTTCTTTTCTACCAGTTTTAGGCTTCACTAACCATCTAATTGTCTGCTCCTGGGCATGCCCAGAACCACTTTTCCTGGACAGTGCTGTGCAACTAAGGACCTAGCTCCCAATTTAGCTCAGTTATGATCCACAAATTTGATATTTCTTTGCCTTTGCTGTTTGCAAGGCTCTATCCAGTAGCATTTATAGAACATCTCTAATTCATAGGACTCTGCACCAAACAGGGCTGGAGGAGGAGGAAGAGCACCCACTCTCTTTGGTTGTAGTCAATAACTTACTTATCTAAGATATGGGAGGCCAAAGTGTAATTTTTTCTTTTGTTTGAGAGGATTTTTACCTGCATCTCCATCTTCCCTTGCTTGTGAATCGTCAATCCCCAGGATGTTCTGGGACAGGGATTTTCAAACTTTCTTTCTGAAACTATTCTACTTTTCATGTGAATGAGCATAACACCCTAGCCTGGTGGTTAGAGCATTCACCTGGGAAGAGGAGAGGGCTAGACTCTTCTTCACGCTCCAGTGAACACTGGAAATAAATTAATGGCTAACTACTTCCCTGCAGCCCAGAGGGAGGTGCCAGATTCATGGATGGAGATGGATAAAGTTAGCAGGGTTTCCTATGGCCTAGCTTAAGTGCCCCCTACTTGGTTTACTGTATACCTGTCTCAGATGTATGACTCTTCACATACATTGTACAGGGAACCAACCTAATTTGGATTCCAATAGGCAGCAGAGTGCCTAAATGTTAGTTTCAGCAATTCTCAGTGTTGCAAGGCAGAAGTTGTTTTGAAGAGCAGTCTCTGCTGAAATGCAGTGCTTTGACAAATTCATAACAGTTCACTCTAACACAGTGGTTCTTAACCTTTTTAGACTCAATATCCCCATTGTTAGACTCAGAGCACCAATAGGAAAATGCCAGCTCTTTGTTTTCACTTCCTTTTTTTAACTATGGAAAAATAATTCAACAAATCTTCTGTTGCAAAGAACTTAGACTACAGCAGATCAAAATGTTTATTTTTAACACTATGCTGCACCTATGCACATGCCCGATGCCCGCTCCAATGCGTTCTAATTAGAACGCATTGGAGTAGACTCTATTAGCAGAGTCTGTTGGAGTGTTCTAATTAGAATGCTTCAGGAGCCTTGGCGTCGTGTGTATTCAGCATCCCCGTGTTTCAAAATGATGGCAGGGGTGCTTTAACTGCCATTAACTTTAAAGCAGCGGGGTGAGGAGGCACTGAATACATGGGGGAGGTGAAAGCCAGGGAGACTTTCATAGATTTCATAGACATTAGGGCTGGAAGGGACCTCGGAAGATCATCGAGTCCAGCCCCCTGCCCAAAGGACAGGAAGTCAGCTGGGGTCACAGGATCCCAGCAAGATAAGCATCCAGTTTGCTCTTGAAGGTTTTCAATGTAGGTGCTTGAACCACCTTCGGTGGCAGGCTGTTCCAGACCTTTGGGGCTCGGACAGTAAAGAAATTCTTCCTTATGTCCAGCCTGAAATGGTCTTGTAGTAGTTTATGACCATTCGACCTAGGAGACTTAAGCCTGGCTGTGGGGAGGGGGTGTGTTTTTTGGAGGCTTAATCCCTTGGTGGTGGAGCAGCCCCTCTGTGCCTCCCAGCCTGGCTGCCCACTGGGCAAGAAATGGGGAGGAAAGAGCCGGGCAGCAAGAATTTCAGGCACCAGGTCAACCCCATTCATTCTTAAGGGAAGTTTTCAGATACCTCATCAACCCATTATTTCCCATGGATGGTTTTTTGGACACCAGGTCAACCCATTCATTCCAATGGAGATTTTTCTGACAAGAGGTCAACCCCATTCATTCCTATGGCTGATTTTTTGGACACCAGTTTAAAGCGCCCCCCACTGCCATTTTGGAGCACAGGATGCTGAATACACAAGACGCTGTGAGTGTTTTAATTTGAGTGGCTCCTGAGAACTGCACTGACTAAAATGCCCCCACCCCATCCTCCTCTGAAGTCATGTATAAAATCGCCTGTGGATTCCTACTTGAAATTTCTGGGTTTATCTTGTGAATTATGTTTGCACACCTAACAGTGCTAGCATTGTGACTAAGTAAAGACATTTGGGGAGGCTTGCGGGGGGCGTTACATTTAGAAAGCAGATTTTTAAACCTAGTGCTCTGAGAATTGACACATCACTCAGTTGATGAGTAGCAGGAAGACTTGTTTTAATAACTTCCAATAAGCTACAAAACTAAATAACAGAAAAAGATACTTTCCCAATATAAAATGAGCTATTTAGTCCTTAGTATTATCTTAGCTGCAAAAAAGATCTTTACCCAATGCAGGCAGGAAGTAGTTCTTGTACCACCTCAAAGCGTGGGTCCATCACTTGTTGGCTGGGTGGCAGTATGGCTTGGTCTGGACTGCACACACCTTGCTGGCAAATTTGCTTAGTTTTTATACTGTTTAATTGTATAGCTTCAAAGCATTTTTCCTTGATGGTTGGCCAATTAGAGTCCAAACGAACATGGAGGAAAAGGTTGATCATCATAACACAACTGTTAAATGCCTGGCTCCTGTTCTGGATTTGTCTAGGTGTGAAGACTCTGTTTTTTCTGCAGCCCCTGCAATTATAGGTCAGTTTAAAGGTGATGGGTCTGAGTAGTCCAACAGGATCCTTAGAGGGGGCACCAAACCTGTTTTGGGGTATTTGTACATCAGTCGGGCAAATCTGCAGTAGCTTGTATGGATGATGGTCTGTTTCCCAAACTCCAGACATTTGTAACACCTTATACATTAAATGTTTGTTTGGAGAAATGTAAGCAGGGTGTGTTTGTCATGTACAGGGCATCTTTCCTATATTCAGTGCACCTTTTACAGGGTTCTCTTGAGATGAATATTTATTTTGTTGTTTTCTTTAGCTGCTAGGTCAATTAAAATGTATAGGTGGCTTCCTTGCCTTCACTGGCTCAGCCTTTTCTTGCTTTCTTAGGTATACACACATGTGATGAGTGGGTCAGGTCTCTGCCAACAATTTTAACCACTTCTATTATTTTATGGCATGGGTCTGGTTTTGGGTACTACAAGCACTCCAGTGTCTTGATGCCTAATGGGTTGCAAGCCATTAGTGGAGTTTGATTTTCTTGTGGCAGTCTTGTTACCACAATCCAGTCTTGCCCCAGCCATTGTTTTGTACACTGTCCAAGCTTTCATGGTTTTCACATGCAGCAGGAGGAGGTTAAATCTATTCAAAATGGGTGCCTGATATCAGGGAAGTCAGGATGGGGAGGCTAGCAGGAGGGTTTGGGGGCAAGTAGGCCAGGGAGGATCAGAGGTCCACTGGGAGATAGTGGGGCAGGTGTGACCCATGGGTCGGTGGGGCAGGAAGCAGGTGGGACCCATGGGAGCAATCAGGGGATGGGGGGACAAGTGCAATCTGTGGGGTGTTGCTGGGGTCTATGAAAGTCTGGCAGGATCAGAGGGACTCATAGGGCCTTGGGGGGGCGGGGCTTTGGAGGACCAGGTGCTATTTTTAGCCTCCTTACCCCCTGTCCCATGAACCTACACCCCTATCCCTCCTGCTCCTCTCCCACTGGGACTTACTTGTTTGACTCTGACAGTGGTGACACCCAGAGTGGATTGTGGGATAGGGGTTGGGGGGTCTGGCTGATTTCAATGGAGGGGGCATGGGCTGGGGGGCAAAAAATAGCCTGGTTCAGGGTGGGGGATTGTGAAAAGTGCAGCCCCAGGGCTGCACTGGGAAAGTGTACAGAAGTTCCATCCATGCACCGGTTTGACCTAAATCAAGTAAGTTTGTTACTACAGAGATCCAGATTTATCTTACATCAGGTTCCACAGTTTTTAGACCAATTTGTATGCATGGAACTTCTGTATAGTTAGAGGTTTTGATTGATTTCTGATCACTGAGACCAGGTTTGTAAATGTAAGGTTGGCACCAGGACAAGATAAGTTTAACTCGGGTGGCCATTTTGAACCTGATTAACCCCCCCAAATGTCTGTACTTAGCCTGTGTGGCACTCTTGGAAGGATTCCAAAGCACCCCAGGGTTCCACAGGACTCTGGTTGAGAATCACTGCTCTAACATATTAGAAAGTATGATGTTTTGGTACTAATATTTCCTGTGCTTCAGGTAGTGTCGGAGTGATGTAGTTGTGATGGTCCAAGAATAACAAGAGGCAAAGGTTTTTGTGGGTGATGCTTTTTATTGGACCAACTGCACAGTTGAGGTAAAGTTAAACAAGCTTTGAATATCAGTCATTCTGCATCAGGTTATCTGATGGTCCAATTAAAATACCATATGCAGAAATCCTTGCCACAGTGCTTCAGGGTCATTTTCAGAATCGGTAGCTGTGACGAACGTACAGTATAGCAGATACACCTTTGTGCTCATCTTTCCCTTACCAGTAAAATGTATCATACTAAGAAACAAAATTTAATTGGTAATATCAACATGTCATGAAAAAAATGAAAGAAGAGGTCCATATGGAGTCAGATTAAATCAGTTGTTGAAAAGATACAGGTTTCCCTCACTTCATGCTATATGTGCTTTCTGGAAAAGGGTGCATAATTTGAATTTGCATAAAGGGAACCCACTTTACAATATAACAAATAGGGATACATTCCAAGACCTTGACTGTACTGACCCTTAGGCCCATTTCTATCACTTTTACAAGACAGTTTTGGTACTCACCAACAGCAGGCAGTACACACAAGCACAGGGTGGTAGAGAATGTTACCACAATGGGGATGGCAACTACAGAAACACGTCGCAGAAAATGAGCAAGGAGCACAGATCCACACAGGAGACTATATTTTGGTGTGTCACTTCCACAATGCACTGTACAGAGTAGCTGACTGTGGGCTTCCACCACACTGAGTGCATAAGAGTGAATTCACCTTGCATATAACACATTTTTGGTATAAAAAGGGTCATCACATAAGAGTGAATTTGCACATACAGAGCCCGCATAAACCAAGGGGAACCTGTATGTATAAATTGTTGAGTTGCTCAGAGCAAACAAGTGCACCCCAAGAACTAGGGAACAAGGAGGGGCTTTGATTGAACTGTGTTAAAATTAGCCTAAATTATGGGGAGTTCAATCTGGGGTGTTGATCTGTCATCTGTTACCAGTTTTTTCAGTTTATTATAGAAGTATGAAATAATTCATATTCTGTTCCATGATGTTTATAGTCCAGTGGTGCTCAGCTCGCAGCCTGCAGACTGGATCCAGCTCCCAAAGTGATTGGATCTAGCCTGCGGCACTGGGAATCAGCAGCAAGCAGCTCATCCTGATACATCCTCTTTTCTGCCCTGTACCATGCCACTGATCCCCTTCACAGCCCTCTCTGCACTTTCCTTTCTCCCTTTCTCCCTCTATTTCCTCTGACACTGGCAGCCACCTCCCTTCCCCATCTCTCCTTCCCCTCCTCCCCAGTGGATTTTTTAAATGTACCCCTTCTCAAGCAAAAGGCTCCTTGAGTTTCAGTGGGAGTTCTGCCTGAGCAACGCACAAATGTGGACTTCAGGAATCAGCCCTTTGAAAGTATAATGCAGAACTTTTTCCCCCAAATCAGATGCTTTTGCCACAGAACCTTCTGACATGCATCCAAGGTGATAAAGAAATGAACATTTTTCTTCTGTCCCTCTAGCTTTATCCGTCTTGCTGACTACCTAATAGTGAATACAATGCATGTCCTGGCAGTAAAGTCAGTTATTTCCCTTTTGAACTACCTCACTGAAAAATTAAAAAGAACACCTGCTGCACATGTCATACAGAAATGGAACACAGAGTTAAAAAATGAAGTCTCTGAGAAGAAGGTAATTTCATTAAAAAAAAAAAAAAGAAAATGCTTATATTGATTCAGACTGTGATGACTAAAATGGCTTGTTTTTTTGTAAAAGTGTTAAATACCCACCAGATCCCACCAGCTGTAACCTTAGCCTGAAATCACAAGTTTGTTTGTTGATATATTGATTTTAAATTGAGGCTGAAAATTATTTATGTTAGTAAGTGAATATTTGACAATTTACTATTGTCATAGAAAGCACTTAGCCTTGTCTTGTCCTGCAAATGTTACTACTGTGATGCAGTGCACTGTTGTCTGTAATCTGTCTTCTATAGTATTTCCAGCAATGTAAAGAAACAAAAATGCTTAGCTCTTGTTTATGTTTCACAGCCCAATTAATGAACATTTGTAGTTCTGCTTTCAGAAGAACCTAGTCTTGAGGCTTTACTCCTGAAGGATTCTGTCTTTTAGAGGCCAATATAACTTTTGCCATTGACTTTAGTGGGATTGAGGAATCAGGCCTTTTACCCTAAACTTAACATTAGAATCTAGGTGGTGGCACTGAAGTAATGAAAAAGGCTTGGACAAGAATAGTCCGTTTTCTGAAGAGAGTGTTTATTGAGTACAGCAATTAACAATTTTAAGCACAAGACAAAGAAACAACAGAAAATTTTGCCTATGTTAAAACACAACAGAAACTGCATAAGCCTTACATTAGGGGTGGGCAAAATATGGTCTCAGGCTGGATTCAGCTTGCCAAATGATTTAACCTGGCTCGCAGCTGCTCTTCTGAAGGAGAATTGTATCTGGCCCATGGTTGCCTTGGCTTTCAGTGCTGTTTGCCCTTCTCCCTCCCCCAAGCCAGCCACTTGCAGCAGCAGCCACTCCCTTCCCTGGCCAGTCCACCCTGTCCCACCTGCCAACCCCCAATGTAAGCTCGAAGCCATGGGGTGCTGAGATCCTGGTCAGCCTTCTGCCCAGTGAGGCTGTCTCCTTGCCTCTCCAGCCCTGTATCTGGTGAGTTGAAGCTCAGGTAATGTTCTGTACACTGGTCGGGGAGGGGGTGCAGGCAGAAAAGAGCCAGGAGTCGCAAGTTATCTGGGCTCTGCTGGTCTAGGACCTGGCAGGGGAACAGGCGTCAGTGTTGTACTCTCTTCCCATGCACTGCTTTAGGCTGAACCATGTGAGTGTAGCTGAAGTGTCTGCATGGCTCCTGCCCAACCCAGAGTCCCCAACATGTGGCTGGGTCGGACAGGAGCCATGCCAGCCGCACCCACTTGACCCAAAGCAGTGCTTGGGAACATGGCATGGCACCACTATCTTACATAATTTTGAAGACAGAATATCTCCCTGCCGTTGGCCAAGCACTCAAGAGTCTCCGGGATCCACAGTTCTTCTTTGTAGGTGGGGCGGAGTCCACAGTCCTCATTTTTGCTTGCTCTCTTATGCATGATCTGCTCCCCTTCTTCCCCTTGCTCACCTTGACAATGGCATGGTCTTTTGCCCCTCTCAGGATGTTTGTCTGTCTATCATGTCCTTGGTTTTCCCAAATTTCATCATGTTTATGGTGTGGTGAAACTGTTCCAGAGTGCCTACTGCGCACTTTGAAATCAAATCTGTTGTAGCCCCCTGCTTCCTTTGGTTACACAGGTTATCTACTGCCCACTTAAGAAATCTGGTCCTTCTGCTTCCTTAGGTTACATAGGTTATTTTTCCAACAACTTTTCCCATTGGCTACAGAATTAGTTAAAATGCCCAAAACTGTTGTGTCTGTGCCATGCATTTGCCAATAAGGCCCTTCCACTTTGTTTGTTTGTTTTGTTCTTTTTAACTAGGCTTTTCCACTCTTCTTTTGTTACATATCTGAAAAGTGTGAGGCCACAGGCAGAAAGCTATGTATAACTTTCACCCAGGTTCGAATGACACTTTGACTCTTGAGTGGTCTGCAAAAAAAATTAAACTTGTTCGTTGATTAAGAAGTCCACCTAAGTGAAGGAGCAATTTGATCAGGGCCCCCACCTCTCCCCCCAGGTTATGATTCTCAAATCTTACAGGGGGGCACTCATCTCTCATGGGAGGGTTCAGCCCCTCCCCCCCAGGCTCCCTCTTAATTCGCACCCTGCTTTCACCTACAGTGTGTATGTATTTCTTTATTGCTTGCTTTGGGTAATTTTTTTCACACTATTTCAGGCTGCTCCTGGGATCGGAGGGCAGGATGAAGAAGAAGCATATCTTCCCATGTTTCTCACAGAGTTAATTCTGGAGATCAGTGCATTGTTGTTTGCACCATCTTTGGATGACTTCCAGGTTCGTGTAGAAATGCATCAGTTTCTCTGGTAGTTTCATTGTACAAAGAAATGTGAGTGTTACAGGTCAGATTTGCTGATACCCTATACCGACTTTGGGGCAGAATGGTTTCTGACTATAACGGTAGTGTAAAAGAGCCCTTGCAAACTAGTGAATCCTGTTTTTGGGATCCCTAAAAAAGTGAGCTGGCTTTATGCACTGAATCTCAAGAATGCCTGTGTGCAGAAGGGGTTAATCCCACTTGACTACTGCATTTCTCCCTTATCTGTACTCTGTCTGGATGATCCCTCCCTCTTCAGGGTATAGGACACTTCCCAATTCACTGGTCAGAGTTTACCAGCAGCCTTAGCTCTCTGACTGCCTTTTATTTGGGTGTCCTACATACTCCATCTCCACTAGAAGATTGAGAAGAGAATGCCATGTTGTAATGAAAAGATGGTCTAATAAAAGATTTCAGATTCACCCAGAGAACCTTGTCTGCCTATGTTGTAATGAAGAAATTTGCGTAGCAGAGTTAATCTCCAAATGCAGCAGGCCCTGAATGTGTATATGTTCATACAAAGACTGATTTGTATTCACAGTAAGGACTCTATGCTGGACTGTAAAAATGGACTTTAGAGTGTAAATTCATTTTTAATAACTCCTTTCCCTA